GGGGGAGAGGAGGGGGAGGGGAGGGGGGAGAGGAGGAAATAGTCCACTTACGATAAGAAAAATTGAATGTTCTGCCGACTGCAAGCTGACCACCGGAAGGGGTAAAGTTCAAAGTAGAGAATTCCAGACATGACGGTATCGCGTTGGATGGTCGTGTCATATTTTTCTTGTGTTCGACGACTGAGCTTTTGCATTGTCCTCTTACGACTAGGCTGTTCCTCAAAACCGCACTCAGATCCAACCTCAAAATCGTGTTTTGCTCCTAATCTGTGAAGCAATAATCCCAACGGTTTAGCAGAGGCCATCTATTTCGTAAAACTTAAATGTCCCATAAGGGAGTGGGGGGGGGGGCGAATGTCCTTACCTGATCGTAAGCTTTTACGCTTCTTGTCAAATTTGCCTAATGATAGCTAACCTTAGCACCAGCAGCTTTAAAAGACCTTGAATACCTTAAAATTCTTGAGAAGAAACATTCAATAATAGCTATTGGAGGTCTGTTGAAAAATAAAATATTTCACAATTTTGCCTACCCTAGTATGGGAAATTAGAATTTTCCCCTCACAAGCAAAAAATAGCACATCGCTTGCGAATGATTCGAAACAAGACTCACTGATGTCCAATTTCGTGGGCGATAATGTCTGCTGTTCCGAAGCCTCTGTCGACAACTACGAGACAACTGCTCTCCAAACTGCACATAGCTTGATAATGTGCAACACCTGGAAGAAAAAGCAAACGCACATGAAGTAATGTCACTTTCAAGTGAAAGTAGGTCGAAGATGCATCCGATCTGGTTGCCTGAGAGCTCACTAACCTTTCCTACCCACTACCACTTATAGTTTTTAAATATGCCCTATTAAGAATCCTTTTCGAATATAAGCCAGATCAACTTTAAACAGGCATTTAAATGACTCTAGAATGGGTCCATGTGCCTTAAAATCTTCATTAAATGCATTCGAATTCAAGTGAAAGAGCACTTGCTCCTCGAACTCTGAAAATTATCTCTAGCACGCATTCAAATACCAAAAGAGCGCTTGGCGGTTCTAATACGCCGATCTAAGGGAGTTGTCATTTTATACATCCGTGTTGCGTCACAATAGGTTTGCCAAAATGGTATATGCCCTGCTATGCACATTTATTTGCAATTTGATCTTGTAAACTTTGGTTACCCACACAGACATAACGATTTCTTACGGGATGGAGAACTGGGGTTTAGCCCGGATCGATCACTTATGCTTTGATGATAAGTATCAAGAAAAGTAGCAGTAAACAATGATGAGGTTGAAATGGTTTCACAATGACCCTGGCATAGCCCATTAATATCAACCTGACAGTCGTAAAATACAGTCAATGACCCACTGAACTTTAGCAGTAATTCTTTGAATTGCATTTGGAATTAAATAAAAAGAGAGATATACTTACCTAATGCCATAGTTTTGAAATTGCTGAAACAGGAAGAATAAAGTAATAGTATCTCTACGGGGAAAAATATGTGTAATGGGAAAAATGGAGCCAATCTACTCACCCTACGTTGAGGAGAATAGCTGAGTCCCAATTCATTGTGGGTCTCCTAATCCGATTTACCCAATGACAAAATTTGCCCATAACTTCCTCGTGATTTTTATTGGACCAATCGTCAAGGCCTTCTCTAAGCTAGGAAATAAAATAATATGCGAGAAGTACTGGTTATCGATTGAAACAAATAAAATATTACTTGGCATCTCAAGAAGGTGTATTCCAGAATGATTAGGGAATAGAATTTTGATCAATCGCATTACCCCAAATCACAGGTGTAAATACATGCAATATGGAATTTGAAGGAATTACTTGGTTGCGAAAATTCCAATAATAAATCTAGGGACCGAATTCTTGACATTTACTGAACGTCTTGCAGTTACTAACTTAGCCACAGTGGTAAACTTATATTAAATTTAAGGGGTGTGCGATAGACTTACCTCCACGTGGTACACTCTGGGCAACGTATACTCATATGGCAAAAAAGTCTATTAACTGGCAGTTGACTTCTCATTTCAAACTACCATCACCCCACTGTATGTCATATTCGACCCCTTCCACAGTAATCATTTTACCTTATCTCTGCCTCTGTGTCTGTCTCTTTTACAACTGTAAACCACTCTTCTGTTCCCCATTCATCGACTTTCTGTTACTTTAACGTTCCTTCCCTCCTCTCGACTTTCTGTTACTTTAACGTTCCTTCCCTCTGTGAAGCCCGAAGTCAGCTAAAGTGCTAATGATAACTATCAATACGCCTTCCATTTGAAATAAATAAATGAATATTATATTTAATGAGGAATCCTAGACAAGAGGACTTTCTATTCCATTTGATTATCATGTCTCTCTTATTTGATATCATCTATTGGGAATGCTGTTGCACTCATATCTTTTCAAATGATAGAAAATCATTGAATCATTTTTTTTCTCAAGGACAATGACGATCCAATAAAAAACTTTATGCCAGAACTTACTGCAAAATTTGAATCAAGGAGAATAATATCCACTATGCTGATTTTAATCGCGGATTTTAGACTGGAGTGCTTGAAGTTTTGAGCCACCTTAAAGAGGGATAAAAAGTTACGAATTCCTAGTCATATTCGATGAAATTTAAACATTTATTAAATCCTTACGGAACCGATTGTGGCGAGAAGGTACTCATTAAGCCGGTCATTGAGTATGAGATGCATTTTCCTAGTAACAACGACCAACAGCTCGATCGTGTTCTCTTCCACCGTTGTAAAACTAATTGTTGGAACGGAGCCCCCGGCAGTCATATTGATCACAAGCTGATCTCCATCTCTTCCAGAGGAATAGTATTCACTTCCAGAGTACGGCTCCTCTTCCATCTTCCATTCACGATGCATGACCACGGTGTTGCGTTTCGAGAGAGCCATGGGACTGGGTCGGATCTCTCGTGGTCTTCGAAGCAACCTTTGCGGCATTTCTGACGTATCTGGCAAAGCGTTCATTGCGTCTAGTTGGTCTTAAGTAATAAAACAATTATATAGAATCAACAATTATGGTAATTAAAAATTATGTTGCGATTTGCAAACCACGAATTTCATAATGTGTTGTTAATATATAAAAATTACTCAGGCGCAACGTAGCTTAATTAGTTCCTTTCTACCCAAACCAACTTGGATAGTGGGAAATAATAGCTTTGTGTTTAAAGGAGGAGTAGATATGTTAAAGGAGTTCGAGACACTTTGGAGGATCAGAAATCATATTACCTTAATCTGAAATTAAAATTTTAAATTTTGAAACCCGAATTGTCAATTTACGAGATAAATGGGGAAACTCCTTCTCTTAAGCTCCCTTCATTTTGATTATGAAAATATGCTTAAATCCATAGGGGGGGGGGGGGGAATAGCTTCCTCCACTACCCTGGCTCCAACCCCCCGCCCCCCCCCCACTTCCCCGATGCATATGACGAATCTAGAGATCTGCTTTCCAACGCGGTAGGAGAAAGCCCTGTGAAATTACACAAAGTACTAACGAGATCAAATCACAGGGAACTTTCAAGTATGAAATTTGAAGAAATATCCTGAAAGTTAGCATTCGCGGGACAAGTGACGCGATGCAGCTATTTATTGATCAGTTTTGCATTTCCAGATTCCAGATTAATTAAGGAACTTTTGATGTCTAGACATTCTTTCATTTTACTATAACCCTTCCTCTCAATAAATACATTCAAATACCCCATTCTTCAACCATTAGGGGGGGGGGGGGTTTGCTTCATTAAAAGACCATTTTTAATCTTCCCTCTTTTAGATGCAATAGTTAATACATGTTTGAAAATCGGCAGTGGAAAATTTTCATTTCTTCTTTAACAGTAAGGAAATTAAATTAATTAAATAAGTGAAAAGCCAATTTGAGATTTTACTTAATTTATTAACAAGAATAATAATAATAATAATCGAGGGAAAATTTATGCACCTATTCGTAAGAATTTAGTTTATTATTAGGAAATAAAATCGCAATTGGTTCCGCATAAAAATAACAAGGAATTCTTAGCGAAAATGTTGTTCGACAAATTGGATGCAGGTTATAAATATCCCCATTTTTACTTGCCCCACAAAAATATAAAAATCCAGCACATTTGGTGAAATTTTTCGTTATA